TGCCCCAATATTCATTTGTCCCTAGATGTTATTGTTAGTTCTATCAATGCCCCAGATTCTAAGATTTCTATTGATGTCTAGATGTTTACCTTTATTTTTTGTTCTTTCTTGTCAAATTTCCCTTCAAAATTTCTTTAAGCAATTTTTGCAATCTAAAAATACCCAATATTCTTCTATAAGAAAAGCAAAAAGAAATATTTTATAGTTATATTTTTGGCAACATATATTAATTAGGATGTGTGTTTATTTCTGGGCTACATATTACTAGTTTAAGTTTTTTTTATAGTATGTTAATTTGAGATTGTATACATCAATATAGTTTTTTTTTTCTCTGTTATTTCCCAGGCTATGTGATTGAGGGAGAAAAGGAAGAGTTGGGGAAGGACATGGTTAAACAGTGTGCTGGGTTGCCATTAGCCATTGTTGTTCTAGGAGGAATTTTGGTTACAAAGCATCCAATAGATGATTGGCGAATAATGGGTGAAAATGTGAAGTCAAGGAAAGATAGAAGTCAAAAAAAAGGGAAAGATGGAAGTTGGGAAATCCACGAAGCAGTAGCTTTAAGTTATGACAATTTGCCACCCTATTTAAAACCATGCTTTTTGTATTTGAGTGTTTTCCCTGAAGATTACGAGATTCCTGTTAGTAAATTGATCAAATTATGGGTGGCAGAAGATCTTGTACCACTAGAAGAAAGTGCAGAGGATGGAGAAGAAATGATAGAAGATGTGGCAGAAGGCTACTTAAATGAGCTTGTAGAAAGATACATGGTGCTAGTGGGAGAACGAGATGTAAGCTCAAAGATCAAAACATGCCGGATGCATGATCTTATAAGAGATTTCTGCTTGTTGAAAGCAAAACAAGAAACTTTCATCTACGTTCTTGATCGTCTTCAAATGGAGCAAGCAGACGTCAGCAGCTTGTCCCCTCCAATTGGTAAATTTCGCAGGCTTGGCATTAATCATTTGGATCTAATAAATAGGATTAAAAACCCACATCTCAGATCTGCATTGTTCTTTGATCAAAACTATAGGAGAGAGTTTGAAGAAAGGTCTTCTGTCGTCAAATGGGTGGAGAAAATAGTGGGTAGCACAAGTAGTCTTGTGGTTATGATGACTTTGACCACATTCATAATGCTTTTTTTGGTCTATGAGATAAGGCATGAAACTCGAAAGTTAACGAGATACATTTGCAAAAATTTCAAATTGCTTAGAATCCTAGATTTTAGAGATGCAGATATTCAATTTCTCAGCATCTTACTAAGTGATATAGGTAGTCTCATCCATTTGAGATTTTTGAGTCTTGGGACCAGTTTCCTGGCAATGTTGCCATCATTTATAAGCAAATTAAGGTGCTTGCAAACCTTGGATCTAAGCAATTGTGTTGGGGTTTATGTACCTAATGTTCTATGGAAATTGGAGCGGTTGAGGCATTTGTATCTCCCTCAAGTGATGGTTAGTACGAGAACCAAGTTGAAATTGGATGCTTTGAAAAATCTGCAAACGCTTGTGAATTTCAACACCAAGAATTGTTATCTTGAAAACATTCACTGCATGAAATATCTTAGAGAACTGGGGATAAGAACTCCCTTCGTTGTTGAAAACTTCAGGGAGGACTTGAGTTTGAACACGCCGGTTATCACAAGTAAACATCTTCGATCCTTGTCCATTGTTAGGAATGATGATGAACATGAAAGGATAGATCCACGGCATTTGACATACCTGCTCTCTGGCTGCATCAACATCCGTGAGCTGCATTTATCTGCCGAGATAAGGAAGTTACCCGAACCTCAGCACATCCCTTCAAATATTGCTCACATTTGCTTGGGTTGGGCTAGACTCAATGAAGATCCATTGCCAACGCTGCAAAACCTACCTAATCTAAGGATTCTCGAATTAGAAGAATATGCGTTCGTCGGAGAGGTGATG